CTTCTTTTTTTTTTGCACAGTGAGTTCGCTTTGTTGCACAGTGATTTCAAAAAAAAAAAAAACAGTTAGTAGCAGACCAATCACAATCGAGAATTGTATTGTTAATGGTCATATGTCATATTATCATGAATAAAAATGAGCCGAATGTTTCTGTACTTACAAATGGGATTGTCACAATAAAGTTTTCCATAATCATATATTGTAGTTCCTAAAAATAAGTGATTAAGAATTTTAATTAAAAATTAAATAGAATAGGGTGTAAGCCGTTGCACAACTAACGTTCCTTGGAATTTCCCTCGGGATTTCATTGCACGAGGCATGTTACGAAAATAGTCGCGTCAATGGCTCGCAGCTCGGTAAATATTTCACAATAATCACTGACCCTAAGGCGAATAATTATTTTAGTATCGTCACAGCCCAGATGATTATTTGAAAGAAAATAAACAAAATTAGTTTATTTCTAAAACTTATATTTATTTTGTATTTAGAAAGCAACATGCATGAAAAAAACGGCGCGGACGCAAACATATCAAACATATATCCGCATGTAGGTCAACAATAGTCCGAAGTTCTCGGCCAATCAGTGTGCGCGATTTCCTATAATTACGTGGTTTAATGATACACGTTTTTATATACAAAGAAAAAACCCATTTAGTTTTCAAAGCTGTTTGGGAATGCAGGCTGTGTGAGCGTGTCTTCAGCACCGTGCACAAATACAGCACAGTTAGCGACCAATCAGAGCGTTCGAAGCAAGCATGTCTTCTGCACCGTGCACAAATACAGCACAGTTAGCGACCAATCAGAGCGCTCGAAGCAAGCTTAGGTGACTATTTGACAAAAAAAGATTGGTTATTTTACCTTCATTTGTGGATGAGACATCGGCAAGAAAACCAGTGGCTCCATTGTTTCGCTTAGTTCTACTGATGAGCCAAAATTGAATGCAACTTGATGTACATCGAGATACAATTTTACCAGGCGATGTGTTGGAGCAGTATTTGAGCCTTCCACCACCGTTTGGATCGCACTCTAAAAGAAGATTAACAAACTACAGTCAGCATAGTCTATCCGTGAACCTAAATCTTTGTGAAAACTTCTAGTTGTAGATTTATGGATGATATATATAGGGACGACATTTTATTGTTCATGGGAGATTTAACTTTAAGATCTGTAAATTAAAATGATCACATTTCATCACAGTTCGGTAGAACATTAGTATTAGATTTAGGGATTATATTTATCTCAAATGGCAGGCGGAAAGATTTTTAGAATTTAAACGCAATTGACAAAGTCTCCATATGTTAAACATCTTATGTCCTTCGCCTATGCTTTCCAAGATCCCAAAGCGTTGATAATACAAGAAGGGAACGATATTGAAACCTCCCCGACAACAGTGTCTATGGAACTGACTCTATCAGAGCAAAGCAAAAAGCAAAACATTTCGTTATATATGATTTTGTTTTTCACTGACCGTGGTAAATTTCTACGCTGTCACCAGGCAGCAAATTGAAGGCTTTAAAATTCAGCCCAATCCTTTGTCCTGAAGCCGGGCAGATCCTCCACGAACACATCTTGTCTCCTGGATATGTTTGTGGGTACTTCGGGCTTTTGATTGTTGCATTTTCATTTGGTTTAAATGCAATCAGAGCACCACAACGTTCTGGAGCTGAAGTGGGGAAAAAATTTATATATAGCTAAGTCGAGAAGCATAGAAATTTGAAAATTATTCTAGGCATGCTTCATACATTATTAACACTACGCGCACACTAGATACCATGCACAAACACACCAGACACTATGCGCACACTAGATACCATGCACAAACACACCAGATACTATGCGCACACTACATACCATATACAAATACACCAGACACTATACACACACTAGATACCATACACAAACACACCAGACACTATACACACACTAGATACCATGTACAAACACACCAGACGCTATGCGCAAACTAGATACCATGCAAAACACACCAGATACTATGCGCAGACTAGATGCAATGCATGTACAAACACAAGACCGGCCAGCACTGACCTACAAACACTGTGACTTTCTCCGACACTTGACCAGCAGGATTGGATATTGTGCAAACGTAGGTACCCATATCACTTATAGTAGCGCTCAATATCTGCAACGAGTTGCCGAATGTCCGAAGAGGGTAATTTGAGCCTCTTTTGGTCCATTTGATGACTAAAGGTTCTGTACCGCTACTGAGTGCACATGGTACTATCAATGATTGCCCTTCCTTGATGCGTTTGATTGCATTTAATCCTGCAGGCTTGACTCTAGGAAGCACTGGAATGAAACAGGTAAGAAGTGAGAAATAACTCTTTGTATTTTTGCATGTACTGTTTCTAGTGAAACTGTTAATGGTAATCTTCAAAGCGCGTTTTGGGACTCCTTTTTCTCCCCCTTCCACCATCGATCATGTGCATGGGTAATCTTTTGGGGCCCTGAAGTCAACATTCAAGAAAGGAAATTAGCTCATAAATAATGCACTGGTATTCAACATTCCAAAATCTAAAACAATACCTMTTGCTCGAATTCAAATTTTGACAACGAAAATGGTTTATTGGGACCTTGAAGATTACTCATATTTTTTATCGTTGTAGGGTTTATATCATTTAAAGTTCTATTTGGACGAAATTGACCAAATCAAACTTATTTCGCCTGAAACGTTTCGATATTTCGATAGAAATCGTTATATTTTCTACGCTACACATCGCTTCATACACTTCTTTTTATTTTGTGATCAAAATATCCGCTAGTTTCATACTCAGTATTGAAGAATAGAAAGGGTCAATACTTCGACCGGGAAGCACTGGGGCGAGAGTCTCTGAAACCTAGAGCCTTAGAGCGATGTTTAATGTGAGTAAATGACGTCACAGTTTTCATAAATTTATAAAGATATAACATTTGCCATTGGAATAGCAAAATAATTAAATTTAGATTTAGATTTAGGTTCATTTAGAACCTTAATATTGTTCCAGTAAAGTTGACTTGAACTAGTTTTATTTACTACTGATTGACTGTAATATCTTGGAGCTGTGTAAGTAGGGGACTGGGGAGAGAAGTATCCTTGGGGCTGCTTGCAGACTCTCCCTCCTCCCCTCCCCACTCCCCTCCTCCCTCCCCTCCCCCTTCCCCTTTTCCCGAAAAGCGAGCGAAGAGCCTGACCACGCAGGCTAGAAACTGGTGCCTGTGTTTACATGTAATTTGAAACTAGCTTTGAGGTTTTATGGGAGGGTCATCTGAAATGGTTGACCTCGCGTCATTGGAGAACTTTAACCAACAAGCAGATCGATCTTAAATAACAAACGACTATAAAAAAATAAACCACTGAAAACACTGGTAACGACCAGAGTACATGGCTGTGCTGTTGTGGTGTCCATTGCCCTCATGGGGGAAATCATAAATTAAAAAGCCCAATCGATTCAAAATGGGCTTTATTTTGGGTTTTGATATATTTTATACTTATACAAAAAAAGAAATTTTTTCGACTTTCGGGTTTATTATATACCACGCGACGAAATTACCCGGCCACGTTATGCAGCCTTTCGTGTACTGAATGACCTCTGTCTATAAAACATTTTAGATATGAAAAGCCAAGATATATTGGAAACTTTATACTTTAAGTTGCGGGCTATATGTAGTTGCTTCACCGCTGATCAACAAATAATAAACTTTCCATTTATATTATAACGCAAGACCAAAATCCAGAAAATTTAAAATAATACAAATAAATATTTTAGAAAATAGATAAGGGCAAAAAATGAGCTAGTATAATGAAGCGGATGTAAAGGGCAATCAGTATTTAAGACCTACCACATGTTGATGGTGGTCCAGCGTTGGGGTCACAGACTCCTCGCCTTGCCATGACCAGTGTTTGAGGATTCGCGGTGGCTGCTGCTAAGGGAAAAGCCAGGGGCTCGTACCTCGCTTTCAAATCATTATCATCGTCTAAGAAGAAGATGTATTCGGTTCTGTCGTAGACGTCGGTCTTGCACAGATAATCTGGACCAAAGTTTCCAAAGCATACGATCTTTGGTAGATTTTTCCTTCCCTTGATAATTTCAGTTACTYGTACGCACGCCTTGTAGAGAACGTTGGTTCGCGTTGAAGTAGAAATGTTGAGAACTGTGCCATGGATGACGAGAGGAGAAAGGACAACTCGTTGTGTTATGGTGTAGAACCGTGTACCAGGTGGTAATGAACAACTCCACGAACCAACAACAAGAAGAAGACCTAAAGTCAAGCTTAAAATACCCCTCATGTTTACGCTAAACGAAGGTTCCGCTGTATGAGCTTCTAGAGTGTCGTGTCTCGAATCGAGTTATCTACGATAAGGGATCTAATATCAGAGAAGGTGATGAATGACAACAGTCATGCAACTATTGGAAGAGAAGCGATATTCAAGTGCCTTCAGGTAGGGTAACACAACTGAATCCCATGAGACAGCAGATCTTTTTGCGATTATCGGAGGATCGATCCTTTTGGCTGGAGTATCGATTATGTAAAATTATAATTCCAAATATTCCTATTTATAGTCCCAGCACTTGCCACGCCCAGCATTCTACAGGGTCTGATGTCACTTTTCCGGATGTATTTGTGTTTTTCCACCCAAACACAACATAACATCAGTTATCAAAGTATCAATGTCGTTTCAACTCCCTCAAAGCTTGGACGTTTTTTTTAATTTTTGAAGTCAAAATAAAAGTAAAAAACTAGCTCGTGATAGGGGCGTTTTTAGATAGGAAGAGCAATGTTTCCTCAGGATTAGTGAAGCTAAGTAGGAATCGTGCAATTTGCCGTCGCGATAACAGGGTTCAGTCTAATACTTTAATTTGCCTGTGATCGACTGGACTGACTCATCCAAATTTAATGAACTTGTGACCACCCATTTTGCTTCCAAAATGGGACATTACTTACCACCTGAAAATCTTTTGAATTTGAATTTTGATGAATTTTGATGAGTTTTTCTTTTTTATCATTGTTTTTTCTCGTCAATCTTAATGTTAATCATGTTTGTACTGTATGTAAATTGTATGGAGAGGGAATATCATTTGGGACGAAAGTTCTGTTTTCTTCGCCAGTCACAAAATTTGTATGTCTCAAGTTTTATAAAATGTATATGTTTATATTGTGACAAATAAACCAAACTAAAACAGTAATGATAAAAAGGTAAATACATCGTGAAAAGATGAAAAAACTGACGTTTCGGACGCTAGTCCTTCGTCGGAGCAAAAGTAAACTAAACTAAACTTTAGTAGACGTCAGTCAAAGTGTTTCCTTGGCATTTTCAACGAGAACGCATAGTTTTCAAGGGCAAAGTCTAAGGAATGTCATGAAAACGCCTTAATTGACTACAACATMCCTATTTCCTATGAGACGGCCCTGTGTTACTGAGTTTTAGACGGAAAGCCCGACCCCATGGGGAAAAGATGATGATGATGGAAGTCCTCAGCGTCTGTAGCGCTCACGTTTCGTTTCACCATCACTGAGGCTATCCCTCAGTACCGCTTGTAAACGCGCGAGCTTCTCACAGTGTTGAGAAGTTATGGATTATACGAGAGAAAGGCCGGCTGAACGCAGGCTATTGAGTAGTACACCTTACCGCAAGTCTAGCTGAATGACCTTACAAGGGGGATTAGACAAAAAGCCAATTTCCTCTTAGTCTTAATATATTATTGCTATAGCATTGATTGGTACTTAAGTTATCCTGATGCAACTGGTGGGTCTACTAATCAATTGGGGTCAGAGCGGAAAGAAAGGATGAAATATACGGTGGGTGGGGCCTCACACCCACTATTTTAGTTATTAGGCTTATAGAAAGAAATGTAAAATATATCATTTTGCCTTGATCCCGGCAAAGGAGAGGCAACCGCTATAAACCGACAACTGTGGATAAAATATGCTTGCATGGTTCATCGTAATACACGTGTATTACCACCACTGATATTTCGTGACTCTTGCTATCAGAGTCTTTCCATAAGGGTAACGGAGACACCCGGTAGAAGAGGGAGGGGAGGGAGAGAGGTGCAAATATCGAATATGGTCGTCGTATCCCGTAGGGGTAAAAATCGGCGATGTGTTAACTTTTTCTAAAACCATATCCTTTCTCCAAGGTAGAGCATTTCACAACACCGTTCTAGCTGTAAAGAGAAAGGAGGGAAGAGTTGTCTCTAGGCAAATTGCTGTGAAACAGTTTTGTTACCATTCATGACGTCACGTCCCAGCTCAGTTCAAAATGGTGCCCAGTTTGAAGACGGATAAAAAGCTCAAAATATTCAAGAAGCCGCTACTGGAATTATTAATATAAAGTTTGGACACAAGCCCAAGGTTTGTTGACTTGCTCGCCTTGTGACGGTATTAATGGTATGTTTGAGAAACTATAGGAGAATAATTACCATAAACAAACTTAAGGAGTCTAAGTGCTTGGTAATGTTTTCCTAAGAAGTAGCCCTCTCTTCTAAGGTCAACGACGAGGTCACTTTGGAGTCAAGAAACAGCAGCTTAGATAATCATTAAATGACAAAATATTCCATACAACCAAAAGCTGCTTCCAAAAACGTAAACAAATACTTATTAAGATCTAGCAGTGTTAATCCAGAGTCCCGACATGTTTTAAAAACCGGTAATCTTCAGAACAAACGCATGACCAATGGCAAGTGATCTGAGAAGTCAGGGCGACAACTGTTCAAACAAAATCCAGCCGAGAATGTCAGATCGGGACATCGATACCCTGCCCGACTCCTGACTTACGATCTTCAATAATGCGTACTATGAGCCAGTTCAGAAGATAGCCCACCTTGCTTGGAACAGACCGCAGCATTTGCTAACTGTCAACAACTTACTCGTGAAAATTTCAACCGATTAGGACTTCTTTCCTGATGTCGTGCAGGCAAACCCTTTCTGAATCATTACTGATTTAAGTTCTTAAAACCAACGCGAGAGTACTATCAGTATAGGATAATGTTGGAGAGCCTCGAGGGTTATAGAGAATATCATTTTACAACGGTCTTTGAGACATCCTCGACAAAAGTTCAACAGGTAAGAGTAGTCTTTATGTTTGCTTTGTTTTACGTCTACCATGAAGTGAAGTGCATATGTACTGTTATTGACGATGAAACTTTAGGTTTTTTGTTCTTTATGTTAATTCATTTATTCGATAACAAGCAAGATTTCGGATTTCTATACCTCATGAATGCAAGTACTATCTACATATCTTGTTCTTATCTCGCCTCTTTTAGATTGGATCGTTCTTAACATTGCGCATTTTTTGAAGTACTCTTAACTCGCTTCTATGTGGACTCAGCTCTCCATCTGAGACTCCAGTCCTGAATTCTTTCAAAATTTATCTTATAAGCTACAAATTATAAAAGCCCTGAAAAGACCTTGACTATATATTAGTCTTCCTTTTCTGGGCTCTTTAGTTTGGAATCATTCTTAACCCGGCTGCTGAGAATTCATATGAGTACTTTAAATGGCTTCTAGGACTCTCCATCTGAGAATTCTGACTCTCAGTAAAATTAATCTTATGATGTTATCTTATGATACAAATTATAAATGACCTGAAAAGACCTTGACTATCTTTGACATTCGATGCCCCAAGGAACGAATCTAAAATGAGGAAAACGGACGGTTTTATGAAACCTCTTTATCTTCAGCAATCATTACAAAGCTGATGCCTTTAGATCATGAGAGTCTCATAAGGCTTGTTCTAGCCGTTTGCTCGTGCTTGTTCTGTCGTTTTGTGGTTAAATTTCTGATGCCCAGATTTCGATCAATATTAGTCTACATTTGCAAATATACTTTCTCAAATATAATTTATCGTCAAAATTAGCAGAATTTATTATCATTAACGTCTGCGATATACAAACTATCTATCTATTATCATTGTCGCCTAGTAACACAGATTTTAATTGAAAAAATCCATATCATGATCAGTTTTCACTCTCATTTGTGTCTGAATAGACAGGCTAAAGCAATCAATGTTTTGAATACGAATTTTGTCATCTAGTGCGTTCTATCAGCCACATAGTGTTTGCTTGTAGTACTGGAGTCAGTAAATATTAGTGGTGTAACTTCAGTCGGCCTGATAAGATATCAGATAAAAATGGATGTCAGTATGAGTAGTGCAGTTAGTTACTACAGTTAGTTACTACACAGTTAGTTATATATAATTTTCAGATATTACAGTTAAATATATAATTTTTAGAACAGTTAGTTATATAATTTTCAGTTAGTATAGTTAGGCTAGGTCAGTAGGTATGAGGGATGCCAGATCAGTAGCACATATATTTGACCCAATCAGGAGAAACGTGAATCCAATGAATAGCAGAACACTTTCACGTATTATTGACGGCACATACAAGGCTATAGGAATCCAATCCATTCAAGTTCAAATATTAATACTGGGCTAGAGGCGACGTAAATTAAAACTTTGTCTACTAAGAGTAAACACCGTAAAAGCTGACAAAAAATTTCATTTCAAGAGTTAAAAGTACATTTTGTTTGCATACATTTTGAGCGACTTTGAGCACTTGGTTGCCAAGGAAACTGCCGCCAAATGGTGCCAAATGAAAGTGGGGGATTAAAATTTAATAATATGGAGACCGCAGGACGTTTCTGATAGAAGTAAATAATCAATATCTCGTTTCATCGGTAAAAGCTTTTTTTTATTTATTTTTTTTTTTTTTGATGATTAGAAATTAAACCCACATGCAGCACAAATGGCTTGTAACATCCAACGTGTTTTAGGGTTTCACTGACGGCTTTTTAATCCAATTATTAGTTCAGGAGTTAACCAAAAGAAAGAGAGAAAAAAAGACAGTACGAAGGTCTTAGGAGAGTAGAATTCAAGGAGTTGAAAGGGTGAATATTAGCACACTTGACTATTTAGATTGTCCTAGTCGTGATCCACTTAGTCTTGCTATGAGCGACTATAGTGGACTATAGCGCGGCTCCCTATGAACCTTGGATTTTTTTAATTAAAACATCACAAACAGACAATGGTGTTTACTTATCTCGTAGCCATTCCAATATATTAGAGTGCACGCACTAGAGTGACCACAGTAAATCCGTGAAATAGTACAAAATAGTGTTAGTTAAACAATAGAAAACAATGGAATTTGCATGAAATTAATTAATTAGTACTATTTCATACAGAATCCTTTGTTTTCTATTGTTTAATTATCACTATTTAGTGCTAAAAATTAGTATTTGTTTCACGGATTTAGTGTCAGCACTCTATCGTATTTATCTATGAATAAGCAGTATAAAAAGTGATTTGGGATAATTTTTTCAGTCAAACTAAGAAACCGTGAACACCTGAAATATGTCTGGAATGTTAAACATCGTGTTCTGACCAATCACATGCGAGAATGAATTCATTTCTAATTAACTGTCGTATGTGATTGGTCAGAACATGATGTTTAACATTCTTGATACATTTTAGGTGTTCACAGTATTCTTAGTTTGACTGTAAAACAAAAATTCGCTAAAAAGCTTTTAAAATCCATAAGAAACATTTAACATTTTAAAATAAAATAATTTTTTAAAAACACCATGACGTTTCGACGTTGCATGAACGTCATTAGAGAGTTACGCGGAAACCAAACGTGAAACGTCTGTTGACTATTGAAAAATTATTTTAAATTTACTGAAAAGGAATCGCAAAAA